TGGATGATGGATGGATGGATGGATGGGTGGATGGATGACGGATGGATGGTTGGATGGGTGGGTGGGTGGATGGATGGATGGATGGATAGATGGTTTGATGGATGGGTGGGTGGGTGGGTGGGTGGAAGGAGGAATGGATGGATGGATGGATAGACGGATGGACAGATGGATGGATGGATGATGGATGGATGGATGGATGGATAGAGGGATGGACGGACGGAGGGATGGATGGATACGAGTTGGATGGAGGAACGAACAAGGCAGGGAGGAAGCTACCGATGTAGGAGCACAGGTGGGGTCTAGAACCTCCAGCACATCCTGGAGTAGAAATTACTGGGGCTGAGCCGGGTCTTAGACAGAGCAGAGTCAGGTCCCCACCCCCTCAGGCACATGTTGGGCTCAGCCGAGAACCTTCCAGCCAGGGTGGTCTGCTCTTACACGCCTGCTCCCGTCCCCAAGCCTTTGCTCAGGTGGGGGTCTTGGCCGGGAAGAGCCCCCAGCCCTGACCACACCCCTGAGCTGGCCGTCAGAATCACGTCCGGAAGCAGTCGTGACCACGGGAGACACCGCGTCCAGGAGAGTCACCCACACCCAATCACATGCTTGTGCACAGACACCCCTGCAACCCCACGCCACGGTCTCGTTCAACAGGTATTTATTAAGCACCTACTGTGTGCCAGGCCCTGTGCTGGGCACTGGGGACAGCCAGGACCAAAGCTAAGTTCTCTTCGCCTATTGGAAGCCACCGTCTAGTGTTGAGAAACCGGTAAATGACTAAGAGACTTTCAGCCAGTGGTGACCACAAAGAAAACAAGTGGGGCTGAGGGACAGAGAGCATCAGGAAGGCCGGAGGTCAGGGTGGGCTTCTGTGAGGAGGACACATCGGAGCAGGGACCGAAAGAGAAGGAGCCAGCCAGAAGATACGGGGAAAGGTGTTCCAATCAGAGAGAACAGTAAGTGCAAGGGCCCTGGGGCAGGAAGGCGCTTGAGGTGCTCAAGGATAGAAAGAGGTCATCTGTGCACACCCATCCCTCCCGCCCCAAGGAGGGGCCTCACACAGACCCCCGACCCCCGCACACATCTGCACACACACACAGGCACTACCTCAGGTCCACTTCCTGGTACACGTTGCTCTCTATTCCGATCACGGACTCCTCCTGCTTCTCAGCTCTGTAGAGGAGATGGAGACAGAGGGGTGAGGGTGGGTGAAGGGCGGGAGGTGGGCTATGGGATGGGGGTCAAGGAGGAGCAGGGAAATGGGGAGACCTCTGGACATCGGGCGACAGGGGGAAGGGACCAGAGAGGGTCAGGAGGTGGGAGAGGGGTGCCCAGCTCTTTGGGGAGCGGAAGGGGAATGGGTGGCCGCGGGGGGCGGGGAGGCGGGCTCCCACCTGGCTTTGGAGCACCAGATGCGGTTGACCAGCATGAGGACGAAGACGATGAAGAGGAAGCCCACGACGGCGACCAGGCCCACCAGCCAGGGCTTCAGGCGACGCTCTGCGGGCGTCAGAAGGTGGGGGAGGCGCGACTCAGCGACGGGGGAGGGGAGGGGGCGACCCCGGACAGGGCCGAGGGAGGAGGGTGCTGGGTTTCCCACAGGAGGAGGGGGCGGGGACGGGACGGGAGGCCCAGGGGAGTGGGGGCACTAGGGAGGGGGCGCCCGAGAGGGGCCGGACCCCACTCCTCTGCTGGCCTCGTCCTCATCAGAGGCCTCGGTTTCTCATCCTGGAAAGTGGGGAGGTGGCGAACCTGTGCCCAGCCCATCCCTACGACCCCCGCCACCCCCGCCCCGCCTACCCTGCTGGGCCTCGGCGGACGCCAGGAGCAGAGCGCCCAGCACCAGCAGGGTCTCCAGGGTCGCCATGGCTGCGGAGGGGCCGGCAGCGGAGCGCGCGTCCCGGTCTGGGTCGTGGGTGACGCCCTGCCCGGCCCCTGATAAGGCGGCAGGCGGGTCTGGGGGCGGGGCAGGCCGGGGCGAGGGGCCCCCCCACCGGGGGCATGCCCCCCTTCCCAGCCCAGGAGCGCAGACTCTGGACCCGGGGTAACAATTAACCCGGGAGTCCCACCCCCGCGCCCTGCGCGCGCCCCAGCCTCGGGGTCCCCGGGCTCCCTGCCTTCCCGGCCGGCTCAGCGCTTTTACGCATCGTTATTTCCTTCTCTGGACAGCCCCGGGCCCCCGGAACTGTGCCGCCTCCTTTGTGCAGAGAAGCCCAGGGGGCCGGGACTGCCCAGAAACAGCCAGAGCTGGAATTTGAACCCTGTCTCCCTCACCACCAGCGGAGACTGCCTCGTGCCGGCTCCCCGACCCCTGGGGACCCACAGCCAGCGCGGGGTGGGCACGGGGCCAAGAAGGGAGGGACTCCCTTGCCAGTCAACCTTGATCCCGGGGTTAATTAGATGGTGGACCCTGCCCGGGCGAAGGGGGACCCCACCCCAGCTGCCACGGGACAGCCACAGCCCAGGCACGTGGCAGGAAGGCTGGGATGGGGGGGAACCCCCCACAGCACCCTTGGGGGCTGGGAGGATGCTGGGGGGTCATTGTATGTGCATTTATGGAGCACCTACTGTATACCTGGTGCCTCCTCCCTTCCTGAGGTCTGACTACGACCCTTGTGCAGATGGGCCACTTAGAGAGTGACAGTTCAGGCGCCCTGGCCTCAGGACAGGCCCACTTCAACCAGCCGGGCAGGCATATATGAAGCACCTACTGTGTGCCCCGTCCTGTGCAAAGCTCAGAAGGGAGGGCCATCCGCTGGGAGCTCCAGGGCTCGTCGGGAAGTCAGGACCCCCAGAGGCAGATCTGAATGAGCGGGGAGGGGGTGGGGACAATTTGGAGGTGGGGAGCCCGGCGGAGCAGGCGGGCAGAAGCTCCTGGGAGCCCCAGCTTTCCCAGGCAGGTCGCTGGCCCGGCCTCTCCGGGAAGAGTCCTCTCTGCTCTGAGTCATCTCCGGGCCGTGTGCCTCCGTGTCCCCTCTGTTCAACGGGGGCTCCCTCCTCCCTCGGAGGATTAAATGAGATGATACGTGCAAAAGGCTGATTTAGCGCAGCAGCAGGCGCATACTAAGTGCTGAAAAAGGGCTGGCTACTATCATTGTTATTTTTTTAAATCCTGACGTTCTTGGTTTACAGATGGCCGGCGGCTCGGCGGAGGCTGGCGGGGGTCCGGCTCTGGGCTCTGGGGGAGGCAGGAGCCTGGAAGCAGCCGTGTCCCAGCCCCGGGCCCGCCGGCCGAGAGAGAGAAGCCCTCGGCGCAGACGCGGAGACGGGCTCTGGGGCGCACGGCCCTGCACCCCACTGCCAGAGGGAGGGGCCTGGGGCCGCCCAGCTCAGTCCAGCCTCCAGAAGGAGCTCCGGCCCGGGGGGTCCTTGAAGGCGATGGAGGGGCGGCGGGGAGCCCGGGTGGGGGCTTCTGCGGGGGCCCCCTCGCCGCCGTCCTCGTCGCCGCGCCAGGCCAGGGCCAGCTGCAGGTCCAGCTGCTCCAAGTCCTCGCCCTCCAGGCTCGGCCGCAGCTCCCGGGGGGCGTCCTCCTGCTCCGGCTTCGGCCCGAAGGCCCAGTCTGCAGGGGGACTGGTGAGGAGCCTCCGCAGCCGGGCCACCCTCCCCCCCGCGCGGCCCTCACAGCGGCCCTCGGCCTCCTAGTGTCCCGTCCACCCTCCCCCCTGTGCTGCCCCCACAGCGGCCCTCGGGCCCCCAGTGTCCTGTCCACCCACCCCCCCGGCCTGCAGAGGCCCTGGCCCCCGGGTGGCCCGGCCCGGCCCGTGCAGCGGCTCACCGGCCAGGTCGTGGGCGAGGTCCCTGACGAGGTGGCCGACGATGGCGTAGGCCACGGCCAGCACAAGCAGCACGGCCAGCAGCAGGTAGAGAGCGTGGCGGGGCAGGCGCACAGCGTCCAGCGGTGGCGGCCGGTACTCCTCGTAGAGCGGCGGGGTCGGGCTCCAGCCCTCCATCCCCGCCCGCGCCACCGGCCCCCGGCACCGCGGCACCCGAGCGGAGAGGCCCGGAGGTGACCCGTGGCGGAAGTATTAAGGGGCTTTGGGTAAGAGGATCGGGGCTCCCCTGCTGCCACCATCTGCCCGGATGAGTCACCTCGATAATCGCTTCCGCCCGCCGGCCCCCCTCGCTGGCTCCATCCTGCGACACCATCCCCACCCACCGCAGGGCCTTTGCACGGGCTGTTCCCTCTCCTGCGAAAATCCCTGCCCTCATGGAGCTGACATTCAGGGTGGGGAGATGGACTCTGAGAAAACATAACCTTAGAGTAAATGCTGTATTGGGTTAGAAGGTGAAGAGTGGTCTTGAGGGGTGGGGGGAGACCATGGTCCCAGTGGTCAGGACCCCTGGGAGGGGAGTTAAAGTTTAAAATAGGGGAGCCAAGGCCACACTGAGATGACATTTGAGCAGAGACCTAGAGGAGGAAGGGAACCAGCTGTGGGGATTCCAGGGGGAAGGGTGTTCCAGGCAGCAGGCACAGCCTGTGCAAAGGCCCTGGGGCAGGACTGGGCCTGGCCTGTTAGAGGAATAGCGAGGAGCCCGTGTGGCTGGAGCAAAGGGAGCGAGGGGGAGAGAGGGAGAGAGGGAACAGGGCAGGTTGTGCAGGGCCTGGGGGCCCGTGGGCTTTCCCCGGAGGGAGAGGGAGCCCTGCAGGGCTGTGGGCAGAGGAGGCGAACCTGATTCAGGGGCTCACAGGCGCCCTCTGGTGGGGCTGCTGGGAGGACAGACTTTGGGGGTGAGGGTGGGAGCCAGGGGACCAGGGCGGAGGGGACTGACCTGGCCCAGGGGGGCGATGATGGGCTGGACCAAGTGGAGGCAGAGGGGGGAGAAGTGGGCGGGTCTGGAATAGACTTTAAATTGATCAAACCCCAGTGTTTTGAGGCTGGGCGCCTGGAAGGATGGCGTTTCCATTTCCTGGGGAAGTAAGGGGAGGATTCTAAGCTCATGCCTGGTTTGGGTGCCTCGTCTAAGTGTAGACAGCGAGGGGCAGCAGGACCCCGAGTCTGGGGCTCAGGGAGGCCCAGGCTGGAGACAGGACTGTGGGCATCACCGGGTGTAGACGGGGTTCCAGCCCCGACAGTGGACGAGGCTGCTGGTGAGGAGGGGGGCTGGTGGAGGGAGGTGGCGCTGGGGAGGTGAGAGGGAAGCCCAGCGACGGGGTCCGGGGCCACGCGGGGACACACAGAGCACGGAGACGGAGATGTGACCAGCAGGTTGGGACACTAGGAGGTTGCCTCGGGCAGGCACAGTTCTGGGGGCAGAGCCGAGAGAGGGAGCCGTGAGGGTGTGACACCCCTTCCCAGGGTGGCACGACAGGTGGCGGGAAGGGGTGGGGTGTTTCTCTTGTTTTTGAGAAATTACAGCCGTCTGTGCTGCTGAGGGGAGGAGGGCTGAGGCGCTGGCCGGGCTGGCGGGAGATGCAGGATGGGGAGCCCGCGACCTTGTGAGACCCCAAGAAATCCGTGTTTGTTGTCGGGTTCCTGGCACAGAGCTCCTGAGACCTGTCATCTCCCGGGTGACGGGTGAGAGGAGCCCCCCCACCCCCCGAAGTCTCTGCCAACGGGGCTGGGGGCTGCACAGCTTCAGGACGGGGCAGGGCTGGAGGGACGGAGCTCTCGTCCTCACCCCGACCGCCCAGGGGTCTGGGGATCAGGCGATGCCCTGAGCCCTGGACCGTGGGGTCTCGCTGACCCCGGTGGTTCGTGTCGGGACTAGACTGGACTGTTGGACGCCCTGCTGGCATCCGCAGACAGAACTGCCTGGTGTGGAAACCCACACCTTTGGCGTCAGGAGGGCTGTGAGCAGAAGAGACCGTCGCAGTGAACAAAGGCCAGAGCCGAGGTGGTCCCCACCTCTTGCATCCACCCCCTTGTGTGATCCCCTCCACCAGGGATCAGGGCTGCTGTGGACCAACGGAAAGCAGCAGGAATGGCACTGTTACCCCCATTTTACAGAGCGGTAAGGGGGCTGCTTGAGGCCACGCATGGAGGAAGGGGGGGGCTGGGATGGGAACCCATACCCAGGGCTCCTAGCCATACCACTAAACCCCTTCCCCTATGCCCCCAGTGGGGGCTGGGTGAGGATCTGGGGAGGCCAGGCTGACCCCTGGAGGGGGCTGGCTGGGCAGTTCTCACCGGTCTGGAACTGGTGGTGAAACAGGGGCACGGGTTTGCGTGGGTCACGCAGATCCCAGCTCTCCAGACGCCCCGCCCCCCACATTTAGACGTTGCATGAGAGCAGACGACTCGCACCCCGCCCGCCCCCCAACACACTCTGAGAGTCATCGCTTGGCAAAAATAATTTAATGGTCCACGGGGGCAGTGCCTTGGGGTCAGCCTGTCCCTCCCCAGGCCCAGGGACCCCTCCGCAGGCCCGTGGGCACGGGGTTCCGGCAGCGCCTCTCATTCTAGGGAGCCCAGCCCTGCCCCGCCCCGTGCCCGGGAGCCGGTGAGGGCCCCGG